TCAAAAGTTAAACCGACATTCAAGAATGCATACCAAAAAAACGCATTGAAATCATTGATGAAAGTGGAGTAGTATAGAAGGTTATTTTATTCATTATCTGCAGATTATGACAGGAAATTTCAAAGTTTTGAGACAGAACGTTGAATGTGCTTCTCGGAGCTAAGTCCTTATGCGGTGCAATACTTTTTTCTCGATGATATTTTCGTTATCAAAGAAGATAATCTAAGGTAACCTAGAATTTCGATTCTTCATTTGGTTAACATCTAATTTATCAAAAATGGCATGTGGGAACGGGGAAAATCCAAAAAGTTAGGGCAATGCAATACTTTTGTCTTGAAGTGTCAAACCACAGCCGTTTGTAAGCTGTCACCAGTTAAAAATGATCGACAGAATACGGTTTATTACTCGGACAACAGCAATAATGACAAAGAGCTACACCAATACATCAGCTTATCGCATCTTGGGAGCGAAGAGCTATAGAATATAGGTGCTCAGAGCCATTCAACATCATACTACTTAAACCAGATTCAGTAGCAAGTACGGATACTCAACAAGAATTGCAGACAAGATCGTCGGTCATTTCGATATATATGATTACCACGATTACCAAATTGCAAAGGCCATATGCTTGTTATTCTTCAAGGGATATCAGAATGCCAATAAACTCTGATACACACGTGACCTCGTGCGAGAAAATTAAGCAAATTGGCAACGAAGAATCGTTTTTGAACACAAGCCAAAAAACTAAAAAAAATAACTAGTTCCCAATCTGCTCATACTCTTTTCGATGCCGTTCTAGTACATATGATGCAAGTGATTAAATTATACAATATTCCCAAGTGCGTTTGCCATCCCCATAGGAAAATTGGCAACTTTAACCAATTATATTCTCCCTGTACGGCCGAAGCGGCAACTATTCGATGTATCACTCCAAACTGTGCAAATAAGACCACATTATCGAAACACTGAGGTTGCCTTGGCCAGACGATATAACAATCAAATTTCAGTTGGAGCCAATCAAAACTGAATCAAAGGTAAGATATAGTTGTGCTTCTGGGTGACTTTGATACTTGGGTTCGAAAATCGAGCGCATCAGAAGCCTTGCAGAAGTCGATTTGGCCTGTTGACCCAGTAAGCAGATAACGGCGATGGGCTTCCTCGGTTCGGCGCAGTCCAGTTCATGTTTGGTAACAATTGGACAATAAAGTGGTGCTTCGGCCCAAAAGATGAACTGACCAAAATCGATCATATTTCATTAGGAAACCGTAGGCATGCATTAACAAGACTGCTAATCTTGTTGGAGAATTTGCGTTGGGTATAATCACTGAGGCTTAGCGGTTCTCAAGTAACCAACTCTGTGGAACGGTGAGGTGAATTTTTACTGTTCATCACACTGCCTTGCGGATCAGACTTTTGAGTCAAAGGATCCGATTAGGGTTCCCTAAGAAAAACCCCTTCGTCGGTGTGGACTGACGCGAAATATGCCGTGCCCTAAAGTGTTAGGTACCCATTTGGAAAAACCATCTTTCCCATCTGTCTAGTCCTTCTTCTCAATCCCGAATATTCCCAGGTGCCTCCCGTTTGCGATACCCATCGCCTATCACTCTGCGTCAAACAATAAGGTCAAACAATCAGAGGTTACCATATTTTTGAAACCAAAATCCCCTTTTCAGTTAGCCGCGTTCAAAGACCGAACACTCTAACAGATCGGTCAACAAGCTGCCTTATCTAGAACCCTTGAAACCTTCCATTTAGATGTATGCTGTCTCCAAAGCACGCATACAAGATCCTACTTCAGTCATTCCCCTCCGCTCGCCAGATCCAACCTCATCCTCTAGCCTCACTCTCCGTGTGTCAGGCATCCGAAGCTCGCGTTGTTGGTGTTGGTATTGTGCTGTGTCACGATCGAGCGTTCTCTTCTCGATTGGATTCCGGTCAACAGCCGACTTTGCGCCGTCTAGATGGTTCAATACGGATCGACAGCTAAAGAACGAAGCCTCGCTGCTTATTCGTCGTATCCGCGTATGCACCGACAGATTGCAGCTCACCAGGAATAAAGGATGAATTCTACAAGGACCTCTCTCTACTGCTCCAAAGTGCTCGATCAACGGAACGTCGTGATGGTCACTGGAGACCTCAATGCTCAAGTGGGATCCCTGGACGAATCAGAGAGGTTACTTGGCGGTTTGCATGCAATCCCAGCCAACAGGACTGACAACGAAGAACGCCTACCTCAACTTTGTGCTGGCCACGGACTGTTTTTGTCAAGCACGAACTTCTCGCACAAAAAAGGCACCACCCTACATGATGACCGCCAACTTCTTCATAGCACTGGACTCAAATCGACCGCACCGCCATCAGCCATCGTTGGAGAGGATCCATTGAAGACTGCCGCTCTTACTCGTCAACAACCATGGACACGGACCATGCTATGCTACGAGCAAGATTCTCGTAACGCCTGAAAAACAACCGCAGAAAAGCCACCCAAAACGGATGCCCACAATACAGTATCACTGACAGTTGCGAATCGGCCTTCGAGATGTAACTATCAGTTCGTCTCTCAGCTTAATCATCACCCGGAGGACTCAGTGAACACCGATCGGCAATCAAGGAAGCGATCCAAACGTCGATCAAAACAACGGCAAATTCTGGCGCATGATCAAATAAAAAACGATGGATCTCCCCGACCTCGGTTGCCATGCTGAAAGCTCGCAGAGCCATTCCTTCACATTCAAAATACGACAGAACGCGCAAACCCCTAAGCGCCAGCTTATGAAGTCTGAGGAATGAGCGCGAGAAGTGTTGGGTAGGGAAGTGCAGAGAGATGGGGAGGGCTGTGGCTATCGGTAACAGTCGCAATCTTTTTCGTTTAATTAGGAGTACAGGACCAAGGAGAGCAAGCGTGAGGTAATTAAGGAGTCTGACGGCACACTGATTCAGATTCAGGAACGTCTTGAACGTTGGGCAGAACATTTCAAGGCACAGTTCAGTTGGTCCCCATCGACACAAAACCTCCACGCACTCGGTTCAACTGTGCAAATATTGCCAGTTGACATCAATCCTCCACCTGAAGTGGAGGTTTCCCGGGAAATAAGCCATTTCAAAAGGAATAAGGCCTCCGGCACCGACGGGCTATCCCCATCCGTTTTTAAGAATGGAGGTCCAGCCTTGGATTTGGAATAAACAAAACTCCTGGGTCCAGTGTCGGAGAGGGAAAAGGTTCCGACTGAATGGTGTGAATCGGTCATCCGACCGATTTACAAGAAAAGTGACACATCCTCTTGTGAAAATCACAGAGGAATTAGTTTAATCACCATTGCATCCAAACTTCTTGCTGGTATTATACTCCGTCGATTGTCTACCGAACGTGCACAGTGTACGCGTAAGAACCAGACTGCTTTCAGACCTGGTCGAGGCTGTATTGACCACAGCTTCACACTTCGTCAAGCTCTAGAACACAGATACTACTTTTGTAGACCCACCATTTTCATCCCCCTCAATCAAAAAGCAGCTTTTGACTCAGTCGACCGCTCTAAACTCTGGCGTTACCTTTTCCTGAAGGGAGTGCCCGAGAAGTTAATCACAATATTACAATATTATTATACTAATAGCCGAAGCCGAGTCCGAGCTTACGGCACTTTTTCACCCGAGTTCACCACGGAAAGTGCTGTTCGACAGAGTTGGCCTCTCTCCTTTGCTATTTAACTTTGTTATAGATATGAAAATGGAAACAGCCCTATCCTCGTGCGAGGATAGTGGTATCGATTTCCTTCCGGGTGGTAGATTGTCTGATCTAGAGTATGCAGACGACATTGTGCTACTAAGTGACGATCCAGGTAAGTTGCAAGCTTTTCTGGATAGCTTGATTGCTAGTGTTTCCATGTTCGGTATGTGTTTTGCACCTTCAAAGNAAAGTGTAAAATGCTACTACAAGATTGGGTTGGTCCAGCACCCAGTCTCATCCTAACTGGGGAAGTAGTAGAAGAAGTAGACAAGTTTGGCAATCCGGGCAGCTATACCTCACCTGGTGGACGCATGAAGCGTCGGCGCGGCCCGGTTGGCATTTGCCAACTTGAGACATTTGTGGCGCCGTCACGACATCCCGCTGTCTGTTAAGGGTCCAGTGTATGCCGCAGCCGTTCGGCCAGTCCTTTCTTTACGGTGCAGAGACTCGGCCTTTACGGGAACAGGATAAAAATGGATTATCGGAGTTCGAACACTGCCGTCTTCGTCGCATTGCACTAGTCTGGTGGGGTAACCGGATGAGCAATGCTGAGGTCAGGCGTAGAGTTTTAGGCAGTCGCGGTTGTCCACTGGAACAAGTGATCGACCTGCATAGTTAGGTTGGGGCATGCGTTACTCAGGTCACCAGATAGGGTGCCGCGGCGAATGATATTTGCCAAGGCTGATAGCGGTTGGAAAAAGATCAAGGGTAGTCAAACTAAGACCTGGCATGAAGGTATGAAAACCCCAACCAGAAGACCAAGTCACATAGGCCCCGTTAGGCTCTGTGACTGGAGACCTCGGGATGATGGTCACCGGTGGTTAGAGACACTGAGGGATATGGCTGGGTGAAGCAAACAGTGGCGCTCGTGCATTCACTCGTTATTCCCCTATCACTATTATATATGAATTCTGAATCTTCCGCTTGAATTTACTTTCAACACTCCAATCTTCTTTCTGTTCGTTTATCCAAATGGGGCACCAAAAGACAGCAACCAAAACCGGCGCACGAAAGTGCATGGTTAATGGTTGTAAGAACTGAACTGAACTGTTCATCACAACGCTATGAAATGAAAAATTGCACAGACAGTACTGGTTATGTTTAAATACTCAACGACATGACCCCATGTCTACTTGGCTTGTCCTGAGGTCCCGAAAAGACCACATAAGATCAAAAACACAAACATCAATGTACGATTTTTCTTCCAAACAGAGATAAAAGCTTAGATCGTTGGGCCGATCGAACATGGCAAATGCACACGATCAAGTTTGCTGCTTCAGGCGCGTACGCCTTGGGGTGGCATAGGGCCTTGATCCACTGGATTCTTGGATTCTGGATTCTTAATTGTTTCATCCACGCTCAAAATTAAGCAAGCAGCCTCTGTGGCTGACGTAATAGCATTACTTTTGACAAGAGCCGGTTCCCAAACGTTATTTTTGAAGTTGTCCGCAACACACTCGTGTTCAATGTCGACGCCGAAGAATGATCCATTTTCATTACCATCCTCTGAAGAGCAAAAGAAAACCCGTTATTGTAAGTTTACTGCAATGACAAACAATTAAAACAAAAATGCACTCTAGTATCTAAGAGAATTATAAGAGATCAAAACACCGCGATCACATTAGGATAGAATTGCCTAATAATTGGTTTGGAGGATTTCGATTGAAGCCAACGGCTGAGTAACAATCACCTTTCTTCCTAACGAACCTGAAGTCAACAGACTCGGGATTGAGAAATCCGGTCGAACAAGCCGTTCTGATGAACTCCGGCGTCAGCTCATGGATTCAGTGGTCACACAAGTTTCCGACTTTTACCACTTTTACCATTAGAAATACAATCTTCAGACCAATGACTATGATTCAACGCAATATCCCGTATTTTTTCTAATCAAAGGTGCTCCGAATATTCGAAACCCCAGTCCGGCGGCTGAAATCTCACTGTTGGAAATGACCTGAATTGAAGACTGTTTTAGCAGACCGAGACCAACAACGCAGAAAAAGGATTGAAAGTTGGTTGTGCAGGAACTGCAAACAGACGTTTTATAGGAATGACTGGTACTGTGGTCCTACTTAATTTATCATCCTGGTGGTTGCACGATAGTGCTTCTCGCTGGTTGCCAAACATTCACACGCCAGCTCCACCATCCGTCGCCCAATAGACTAATTGAATGATTTTATGGGAAAATTAAAGTCCTACCGGTTTCCTCACATGCAGACAGACATTCCTTTTACCATGATGTTAGGTTTGATCTTGGGTACTGCTCTTAGATTGCTCCCAGAGATCTATCTTCACTCCGTAAGAGTCTCGAACCATACACGTATCTTCCTTTTATTTTCATTTTATTTTTTTAAGGAATATACCTGGATACAATTTCCAGGAAGGGGGAAGCGGCCAATCGAAGGGCTGCCACTCAACACAGTGGGGAAATTCAGGCGATGGTGTTGGGATTCGAACACATCCCCGGGGAGATAATTTGATGACGCTACCACCGGGTCGCCACCGGTTGAATACATGCAGAACCTTAAGGAAATCCCCACCCTCGAAATTTTGCTATCCAGGTCACTCCTCGTGAAAACAAATATTTTACTTTTGATCGAGGTGACAATACGGTCACTGGTTGTTTCCAATTACTCATTACGATCGATTTTTATCATGACCAACTGTTTATTTTCTTTTTGTTTTGCAACTAATAGCTTGCTCGTGAGATGGATAAAGTAACAGGTCGTTAGTTCTTCGCGTTTTCTATTTTGGCAGGATATTCGTTTGAAGCCCCACTCCATTATCCATTATCCGCTCAGAACGTCTCTACTCCGAACTAAACTCTCCAAAAGCTGCAGAATGTGGAGTTCAATGACGCTGTGCCTTCACTAACTTCCTTGAATCACTTGGAACACGCATTATATATATATATATGTATATATGCCACCGGGTTGCGGACAAGTATGGTGCCAACGCCACAATAATAATGACAATAACGGGATGGGCGGATACAGAACACAGTAAAAGAAGGCGAAGCTGTTAAAATGGAAAATTGTAAATAACTGGAATGGCAATGTTATTTTGTATTTCACTGTACACCTTTTGATATTTTTTGTGCGAATTTCTTTTTTAACGGGGCACGGAACTTCAACAGGCAGACCGTAAAGCATTCGCGCCACTGACTTCTATGTTGGACCTTATCTCTCAGCGTATCTAACCAACGACAATTCTCTGCCCCTCGGCCTCAACCTAGGTGAACTGCACCAACCAAAGCCAAAGCTGAAGCCAGCTTCTTCATACCTCTACGCTGTCATAGTTTGATCTCCGCAGAGCTTCTTTCAGCCTTGCCCGGTACGTGCAAAGAGAGCACGGTAAGGTTGTCGATGGGCAGCCATACGCAATACGTGACCAAGCCATCGGAGGCGATGTAAAGCGATTACTTCTGTTAGAGAGCGACTAACCACACCCAATATACGACGACGGACCTCGTCATTGCTCACCCGATGTTCCCACTAGACACGAGCAATGCCTCGGAGACGTCAGTGGTCGAATGCAGAGAGTCTATTAGCATCCTCAACGCGGAGGGGTCAGGTCCCGCAACTGTAAAGAGGAACACTACGAACCGCGATGTACACCATTCCCTCAAGGGACAGTCGGATATCACGGCGGCGCCACAGGTGTCGCAGGTTGGCGAAGGCTGCTTTAGCTTTTGTTATTCGTGATGTGATCTCCTCACTAAACTATCACCAGCTACTATCCAGCTCCCAAGGTACTTAAAGCTGTCAACTACTTCTAGCTGATCACCACACCAGGTGAGTGCAGGCACCCTACAACCTGACAAACTAAAAACCCTCACTAAACTTTCTCATTCTATGCATCAATTCTCAGGGTTTTTTGTGTGCAGAGACCGGAACCGTACACAAACAGATAACGCTGTGAACGTGACTTGTTTGGTCGGCCCCGAGACNAATTATTTACGGCGCGCAAACAAGTCGGGGAAACTTCATATCCCATTTGCACAGACTGCGATCACTCGTCGGAGATTGCAACTATCAAGCTATCAGTTCAGTTATTGAAACCATTACCCATGAGCTTTCGTGTGACGGATTTACACTCTACTGTCGTGTGGATCAGACGCTTGAGGTTTCCAAAAAATAACCGTATCAGTGCGGTTTACCGCGAAGTATGTCGTGCCCGAAAGCCTAAGGCACCCAATTGGAAAAACCTTTCTACTCTATCTAGTTCTTCGNTTCTTCGTTCCGCTCAGATATCGTACGAGATGCCTCTGTTTACATCCATAGGATGCCATTCACAGTTTAACCGGTAAGGTCAACCAACAAAAGGCTAGAGAGTTGATGGAACCGAAATCTCCGATTGACTGGACGACACTCGAAGTTCGCGCACACTATCAAGCTGTCCGCGCTGACTGTCGAGATAAAGATTTATGCGACTCCATTATTATCACCAACATTGTACAGCGTAATACAGTGAAGCGAACCTCACTGATCGCTGCTACACCCAAGTGAAAATGTGTACGGAGGATGGGGGTGGGATTTAGGGACGAGAAAAGAAAGCAAACCTCCATGGTCAACACCCAGAATACACAGTCCAACTGTGCAGTCTAGACTGATAAAACGTGACTGCAAGATTGCCACTGCTGTCAGATAGCTTCCATGATCTTCAGTATCTGCAATCATCCAGTTATGGGTTCTTTCTAACCCCAAACCGACAGCAACCAAAACCGGAGCACGAAAATGCATGGTTAATGGTTGTAAGAACTGAACTGAACAAACCGAAAGACGAGAGACACCTACTCTATGTAGTCGCCCTGCGCATTTCTTCTTGTCTCGTCTCTACTGGGCTTTGTCCAACCTGCAGCGACCACTGCATATAAGGCGCGGTGCGGTAGGCGACTGTTAGAAATACGCAACACGTGCCCCAACCAACGAGGCCTATTTTGCTGAAATTTTTTATTGCACTTTCGTGTGGTGAACAGCAGAGGGGGCAAACCCCATAGTCACAAGGACCTGCTGTTCAGTGATGGAAACTCGTAACCTAAGCGATAGCGATTGCGGGTTGGCGTTCGATGCATTCCCTAAAACCCTGCAACTTACTTCGAGGTTACTAACCCGATTACTCAATCCAACCTGGGCCAAAAAACGTAAGCATCCATTTTCGAAAACCACTAGGCGACGGATATCTTCTAAACGCGAATTCAATGTCTTCATTGTCATGATCTTCGTACAGCGAGATCGCCGCCAAGCTCACAACGTACACAAATCAAGTGGTAAAGCACAAGATGGAGAGGGACAGGGCCTATTGGAAGGAGGCAAAAGTGAACCTCTATGGTCAACACACAGTACACAATCTAACTATACATACGTATCTTTTCAAGCATTATGACCTGATAAGAAGTGGAAACAAGAGCGCCACTGTTGTCGGTTAGTCGCCATATCCTTCAGTATCTCCAACCAACCAGTTGCTGAGTCTTTCGGACCTCAATCTGGAGGACGGGAGACACCTTTTCTACCTAATCGCTCTGTGCATTTCTTCATGTTTCATTCTCACGTTATTTGTTGACCTCCACGTGGTTTCTTCCAACCTGGAGCCGCAAGTGCTTACCAATGATCAACAAACCAGTAAAAAAAGTTGCGAAGAGCTTAACACTAAGTGTTTATACAGTATGACGAAAATACCGCGTTTGAATTTTGAGGAAATTTATATCAATTCCGGCAAATTCTCTTTGGAGTAACTAGTGGAGCCGCGTCCTTTCCAAGGACCATTAATCGCATCATCAAAGCTGAGATATACTTTCGTTCAAAGTGATAATATCACTGTATATCGAGAAACAGTTCAAGAGTAAGACGAAAATGACACTTTTTAGCAGCGGTTGCCCGCTATGGTGTTACTCGAAATGGAAGCAGTAGAATTCTTCACAAGAATCCTGCCACCCAGTGAGCGATATCATTTAGCTGGACAAAGGTCATATACCGTTGTGGATTCTGTGAGAAAGTGGCGAAACTATCTGCTACGCTGTTACTCCAAACTAGTTATCGCTTGGTGATCTGTGCTCATCATGTAAGAAATGCAATAAAATGGGACAATAAAAAGGTCCGAGGTTCCATTCCCGCGAACGCCACCCAACTTTGGTGGTAAACAGCTTTTTTGTCGTCTCAATACCACTCAATACCGATCTATACCACGCCTAAACCAGCGCGGTGTTATGTGATTCACCACCCAAAATCTTGGGGCTACGGCACTTGGTTTCCGTCACTGAACAGCAGGTTTTGAGAACTATGGTAGCCAGCCGATCTGGTGTCCATCACACAAACATGAACAATAAAATTACTTATAAAATTCCCACAAGCGTTTTTTGTATATGTCATCGTAATCAATTTTTGGCACCACCGGTTGTACACTGTTCATTGTATTCAATGTTCAATTCAATGTTTTTGATGATGCTAAGGCCAACGCGCTCTCACTGCATTTAATCATCGTTTATCCTAGATTATCAAGATTTCAGTTTGAAACGCCTATGTTCTTTTCGTAAGCCTCACTGTTGNCTGTTGGATTTCCGTGGTTCACGCTACACTGGGTCGGTGACCCCAACATTTGGCAAGACTGAACGATACCTTATCTGGCTACCTTCTATGATGGGTGAGCTCAAATTAAAAAGATTCAACGCTGAAGGTTGTGGTGTTATATTGTTCCGGAAGAATTCTCCCATTGCACTACAGAAGGACATCCTCAGGGGAAGATTCAGGCGGAATTCCAAGCTCTAGAACGTTATAAAGCGCTTGGCTCTAATAAATAAATAAATATATATATATCCTTGAGTGCCTTTACCGAATGGTGCATTCCATGGACCAAAGTCATCGGTTAGATTGTCCTGCTTAACCAAATAAGCGTTATTCCTATGTTATGTTTGGTAAATAAGCTTTTATGTTTTAGGTGATGGCTACCCTGTAGTGGTAAGAGGCGCATAGTGATTAAGTAACTACCAGCATTATGCAGCCAATGAAGAGTGCAAAACAATCACCAAAAGCAAACAAAATGATGTTTATGTAGGAAGCAATAAATGCGGGTTAGTCAAAAATACTGCATCATACAGATTTTGGTTCACATGACCGTTGATCTTACACTAACGCAACTGAGACAACATTTGTCTTTACTCAGTTCACAGGAGAAATGGAGGACCAGTACTCAGTCAATATAATGCAAGTGGGTCACAATCGTTACAATCAATTTGTTTATTGTACCCCCAACCCGACTGAAAAATGTCTCTTATATGACGTTGGCACGGTAAGGCTTGAATGCATTGATTTGTAATCGTAATGCGGTAAATACTCTAATTTTGCAGAGATGCATGTTGTTGAATACATCGAAGATCGCCTACAGGGAAACGGCTGAAGTAGAAGCAGAGCTGTGGACTTGAGCACTTGAGCAGTAGTGGTTGCGGAGGGCTCAGTCTGTCAAGCGACCCAACTAAAAAAGGCCAGATCTGACGATAATGTGAATCACATAAAAGACAGTATGAAACATCGAATGCAGCAGAGCAATGTCTGTCGTGGGTTTTATCAAGAATCCAGATCATGCATAAAATCAAAGTCGACAGCAACTCCCCGGTCCGGATAAGGCACAAAGACCAGAAACGCAAGTTTACAGTACACTGTTTCACTAAAATACCGTAAGCAATCGCAATAATTGAATTGGAGCCTCATTTCGACTACGTGAATTCAGTGAGTTGTTGGTGAACTCGTATTTTAGGGCAGAAATTCAATTGAATGTTCACCCAAGAAGAACGTTGGGCGGTAGTGGCCCTGCTGTAACGTTATCAAATTATCGCCCCGGAGGACGTTTGTTCGAACTCCACCACCATCGACTGAATTCCCCCCATTGTGTGTTGTATGGCAGCCCTTTGATTGGCCGCTTTTCCCTTCCTGAAATTCGTATTATTGTGTATTCAAAAAAAAGTGAAAACGAAGAATAAAAGCAAACACCTGTAACAACTCACTTTTGGCGTGACAATGACGCAGCTGGTTTAAGATACTCGTAGCGTCCAAACCTGCATTATCACAAAGCTGACGAGGAATGACCTCGAAAGCGCGGGCCATTGCGGTGATCAACAATTGTTCCCGGCCGCGAATATTGCGAGCAGCTTCCCGAAGATAACCGCTTAAAGCCATTTCAGTGGCTCCACCACCTAAAATGGAGATAGCGGTCGTTGTAAAAATGTAAGTTCGTTTAGGATTATTTCAAGCAAAAAAAAACAGAAAGTCTTCTTATATGATTCTTGGGTTTCTGCCCTACCATTCAATAGACTCCATTTCGGTTTTCTCTTCATGGTCATAGCAGATTTCTTGCGCTACCTCCAGGATACCCTTGTTTCGTCTTTCATCAGATTATCTGCGCATTTTACTGCATTTTATTTTCAACACCTTTTAGTTGGCTGTTTGATGACCAAGGTTTGACGATATTCCTGTTACTGCTGTACACTTGTCAAGTATATGCTTTATGCACTTCCGAAAGGTGAATGTCCAGCAGCATGTGCGTGCTTGTATGATTCCACCATAATGGTAGAAAGATGATTTGGTGTTTGGTATTTTTAAAGACGAGGGAGTGCTACACAAAGCACCAATGAAAAATTAAGTAAATGATTAATTGACCAAGCATGTATAACCGAACTTGAAAACTCCTATATACTAGGAAACTACAGTTTGATGGACGCGAATGGCATTGTCATATCTACATGTATATTTCGCACAGAAAATCAATGAAAATTTGACTTTCACATTTATTCATTCTCAGGATGGAAGGAAACAAAATGACACCAGTAAAGTTAATGGTTCGGTTCATTATAATTTGAACACAGAACAGGTCGAGGAGAAATTCAAGTTCTGCAAAATAAGTTAGTTATCTTACCGGCAACGAAAGCATCATTCTTCACAGCACGACGTACAACCATGATGGCATCATGTAAAGAACGTTCAGTTTCCTCCATGAATTGTTCAGCACCACCTCGTAGGATAATTGNTGGGCAGCCTTTGAAAATGTTGAACCTACGGTGAAAGACAGTATACAATGTTACAATTACAAACAGAATACTAAAAAAAGATGTTCACTTGTTTATACCAACGAAGTGAAACTGTTTGAGAAGCTCACTGTATATTAGTTGACTAAAACTTAGTGTCATAAGAATGCAATAGTATTGCTAATCTATCAAATATCGGAAAACCCTATTATCTCTCCCCATCAGAAAGCAGAACGTGAAGTTTCTTCAGAGGTGCTGGAAAAGAGTTCC